TGTGGTGTTTAATGAGTGTTATCGTTTGCCATTTGATCCAGTTGCTGCCCGTCCTTTCCACTGAGGTTATTTTAAACATGTTTGACTTTTACGACTGGAATCGGTACTGTCAACATTACTTACCAGGGGAAATTATGTAAAAAAAGAAAAACAGTGCAGTGTACCATGAGAGAGAATTATAGTATAATTCACTTCATCAGCTTTCAGGTCAGAGTCACAGCTCACCTGAAATTCACCTCACTCTTGTGAAGTTCACTCACCTACAGCTCTCTCTGCAGAGTTAGAGTTTTTTTGCCCCCGTCAAGCCCCCATTTGATCAAAATTTTGCACTTCCCTTAGTTTTTTTGTTGTATCTGTGCAAATTTCAGCATAAATTAGCAAGACAATGTACTGGATAAATCTGTTTTTGATCCAGGAACAAATGAAAATGCGTGTTTCCATTTGAAATCGGGTTTACCTCATGACATGACTAAAGTCAAGTAATTTTTTTTTGTGGCCCATCATCACAAATTTGCCTCGGGTGGCTTTACACTCTGTACAGCATACGACGCCCTCTGTCCATAGACCCTCAATTTGAACAAGGAAAAACTTCCTAAAAACTAGCTAGCTGTCATTCAGTGTGTTGATGCTTGTATGTACTCAGTAGTGCAAAATGTGCTCCTTTCTGACTGTCAAGACTAAAAAAATCTGTGTATTTTAAGATAGTTGGAGTGTTTAGTCTTTTTAGGTTGCAGGAGTCTTAATGTCTCACAGCTTTATACAGTAAGTATTCATCAATAGAATCTGTGACCATTTTAATCTGTTTTTGGTGCAAAATTCAGATACATTTCATAGTTTTCACCTGACTTGTCTGATCTCTTTGATGTGGGAAATAAAATCTAATTTCGCAGCCCATCCACTTTCTATTGTTCAATTAATTAGCCTTTTTCTGACTAGTAGCAACACGCCAAAAACTCATAATTCTTCCTCTCGCCTCACACACTGTCAGTCCAATTAAGTGTTTTTAAATGCCTGTTGAAACAAGCGCTGGCAGACTTATTAGATTAAAACTGAATAGAACTCATTTACACCCTATAATCAAATAGACTGCTTTTACCATAAAAAAAAACTGCTTAGCTATGCAACTTTTACCAGCTTATTCAGAGAAAAATTACTTAATCAAAGGAAATTACATAATGAAAGAGTCTGATATAGTTATTTTCTCCCCTTCAACCTCATGCGTCAAAAAGGCATGGTGAAGCTTGAGTGTGTGTGTGTGTGTGTGTGTGTGTGTGTTTGTGTGTGTGAGAGAGAGCGAGAGAAAGAGAGAGAGTGGCACGCTATCAGTGAATCAGTATTCATAGACTATAGCCAGTTCTGCCAGCCCTGTCTCACAGTAGGGGTTCAACTCTATGAAGATAAAGTGATTTTTCTGGAGTGAGTGACCCTAATTCTGACCTGACACACACATACACACCCACACTGTATATATACACATCACCACACACACACACACACACACACACACACACACACACACACACACACACACACACACACACACACACATATCCAATTATTAAGCAGGCACTGCTAGAGAAAGATCCACAGCTCAACTTTACTTTTACTCTCTTTCACTCTTATGTCTGTCTTCTAAATGCATTTACCCCACAAGGTTTCCTCTGCATATCTGAATGCAAACTGGACTGCCAAATGATTTTTTTTTTTTACCAACCTCAGTTCTGCCAAATGGGGCAAACTTCCAACATAAATAATATCCACATCTTTACACGTGCCGTTGCCAGTTAGGCAGAACCTGGACCTCATGTCGAGCCAGAGAAAATCTCACATCTCACCACAGCTACACACTGCTGTAGTAACATTTAGGATTCATTTTGGGATGTTTAATGCAGCAGAATGTAAGAATAATGATCGTTGCTGGCCAATTTGTAGGAAGGACAAGTCTTCTAGGACTTTATTTCCATCACACATACATTCACTGTAAAAGTGCAGGGAGACGGAGAGGAGGGGAGAGAGGGCGGGATCCTAGTGGACTATCAGCCCTGGAGCAGCGACCCTGCTCCTCTTCTCCTCCTGTCCTTTCATCCTCCTCTCCTCCCTCTCCCCTCTATCACAGCGCTCATCTCCTCGGCAAATTGAATTCTTCCAGAATCAGCCTAAGCAGCTTCATGCGATTGGCCTCAGGAGTGGATACACGCGCATGGTGCGTCGGGTGAAAAAGTGTGTTTGCGTGCACGTCTGTCTCTTGGCTCTCCTGTCACATTTGGAGGCCAATCTCTCTGTTGGGCAACATTCCTCCCGAAGAGACAAAAAGCAAAGACCTTGAGCTGCCACACACTTTGACAGAGATGGACCGAGGGGCAACAAGAAGGAGGGAAGAAAAAAGAGAGGGGAGATGGTCTTGACAGACAGACAGGTGGTTGGATAGTACAGCATGTGCGGAAAGAAAGACAGGTTAGGAAAAGGGGAAGACTTAGAGGGAGAGAGACGGACATGTTGACATTGACTGATAGAGAGACAGACAGCAGAGAAGACAGAGAGACAGACGACATCAGTAAGTGAAAGATGCTGTTAGCTGACCTTGTTCCTCTCAGATGTGGAATTCTCTATCTCTATCTGTAGTTCCTAATGGACTCCCTTTAAAGGAGACGAAGGGATTAAAAGCTATGAGGGATGGAGTGGGAGGACGGCCGTAACTTGCAGCTGTACAACGTATGAAGTATGAAGGAAGTGGTAGATAAGTGGAAATGATGGAGGCAGATACAGAACGTCTACGTCTCTCTATTTGTAGCGTGTGTTCATGCTCCAGCCTTTCTAATTGAGAGTCATATTTGGTAAGGCTGCTGCTCTGCTTTCTCCCTCTTTCTCTCTCGCTCACACTCACACACACATACAGGCAGGCAGCGGTGAGTTATAGTGCTGGTCAGCAGTACGACATTGGAGTCTGCATTGCCAGCCACCGTCTGTAAAAGCGGAATATTCCTAATAAATCCTTACGCTCACATGCACACATACACACCGTTTCTTTCTCTCTCTCTCTCTCTCTCTCTCTCTCTCTCTCTCTCTCTCTCTCTGTCTCTCTCTCTCGCACACGCACACGCACACACTCACACACACACACACCAATAAATCTATCTTAGATGGAACACTTCCCTCTTGTGCACGGAGCAGGCAGCTATCAATCTAAAAGAGAGAGGGAGAGGGTGAAACAGTGGAAAGTAGAGAAAGAGAAGGGGGGAAAATGGTGGCCCTGAGACATCCATGGGGAATAAGGAATAAGGAAGGGAACAGGCGATGGAGACAAAGTGAGAGTGCTAGAGAAAAGAGAGAACTGAGAAAGTTGAAACGCAGGGAGGAGAGAAGATTGAATTGACAGGAAAAGGTGAGAGAGAAAGAGAGAATGTAAAACTCTGGCTTAGAGTTATGAACCTGTCCATACATACTGTAGCAAGCATATGAGCCTGCTCCCTCATACCCAGTTTGTGTGTGTATGTGTGTAAATGGTTGATGAGTTGAATAAATCTCATTGTCCAGAAACCCCCATCCCCTATGCCCACTCTACACCCCACACCCAGAGTTTTGTTTAGTGGGTCCAGGCCTAAAGAGATGCTGACAGGTCCTGCCACTAGTTTCTGTGGACAGACTCTTTAGCCTTGATGCCTTTAAGCTGTGTGCTGGTGAGCCAGGTCTGAACACCTGAGCCAAGAGTTAAAGACTGGACGGCATTGTTTAGACAGCAGCTGTGGCTGAGCCACTCAAGCACATGTACCTTGCAAGGCAGGGCGAGTGATTTCAACAGCCTTATCATAAGACGCAGTATTGGTACTGTGAGTCACTGTGCAGTCCAATATTGTACTAGTCTCATGTACTTGTTCAGCCTCTGTGCTTGGATGCTTGACAGTCTAGCAGTACACTACAAGTGATATTTCACCATGTTGTGAGATAGGAAAACAACAAACGAGAGGTAGAGGTGAAAAACTGCTGTCAATTACAATAAAAGGATGCGTATCAGCTGGGTGGGCTCGTTGGCCCACTTAAGGTTCAACATGACAAAAGCTTAAGCAATTCCACATCACATCACATGTGACAAATAGGATGTCCAAACTTGTTATACTAGAGGAAGTGTTTGACCTTTGTCTTCATGAACATAGCGTGCAATATACTCTGCCATTTGATGCAATTCAACTCATCTCAGCAACACAGCAGATGCTCTGTGCAGACAGGAGAAGTGGTCAACTTACTGTTTGTCGTTCCAGGGAGTAAATGTGATAGAATTGCTGCTTCACTGGAACGTTCATGCGCATCAGTGCCGAGTAATAGACATGGCATCACGGTGATCCATGACGCAATCCACATGCCGCTGGTGTGTGGGCTCAAATAGAAAACAATAGTGTTTAATGTTTTGACATGCATCATATGCCATAGTTGTAATTAAAAAGTGATAATATGTTTAACATCAGACTGCTGCTCATATTAACGCCAGAATACCTATTTAATATAAAATCCATATCATTATCTTTGTCGAAAATACTTTACATGCAAGTATGTATCTGTATTATGTTTTATTACCACATCCTCTTTCAGGTACTCTTAACTAATGATGGTATAAATGAGAGAGTTTTGGCTGCAGGAAAGAAGTACTTGTAAATCAATACAGTAGCAGATGCAGTAACATTTCTTTTTATTGTTGGTTTGATGCCAGGGGTCTTTTTTAAGTCTGAAATTATTTTTTATATCTGCGTTGACATTTGCTAAATGGCACCTGCCAACATTATTATACGTTGAAACTATATACAATAAAATCAAGCTACATTGGTCTGTCTGTGTTTTGTTCCTCCCAGTCCTTTGTGCAAAGCACATGAATGGAATTTTATTTTTTTATATTTTTTTGCAGTGGATGAATGCAGATGAAACTTGTCCTGTTGTCCAAGGATGAATAACTCTGACTTTTTCAAATAACAAAAATAACATGTTTTCCTGTCTATCTGTCTGTCTGTCAGAGGTGGCTCCCTACCTGCGAGCTGGTGGACTGGGGCAGCAGGCGGTGTTGGAGGGAAACAGACTGGTGCTGACCTGCCTGGCTGGAGGCAGCTGGCCTCTGCAGTACCGCTGGACTCTCAACAACAGTAACATCACTGACTGGACACCACAGTACAGGTCAGTTATTGCCGACTGGCTGGTTATGTGTCTGACTTTGTCATGGCTCTCTGTTGTCTCTACGTGCTAGTCTGCCTGTTTGTATATCTTCCATCCTTCCTTCAGAGAATCTTCTGTGTTCAGTCATGCCTGTAGCATGGGAAAACAACTGCTTTAATTGATGGTGTGTGTTTGGGGAAGGTCAGAACATTTAGACAATGGAGCCAAAGTGAGATAAATAATTACATTACCACCATACATATGTAAATAGTCTGGGAAAGATGAAAAAAAAAACAATCAATATGTCTGAGCTTCTTTCTCTGCTTTTCTCTCTGTCCCTCTCCTCTTCCTTTCTTGTGCCCCTCTCCCTTTGTCCCTGTGTGTGTTGGTTGGTAAGAGCTAAGCAATCCCTCTTGGCAAAACTGCAGCTGTGAAACAAAATTGTTTTTCACATCATTCAGAAATAGAGGGAATCTTGGGAATGCATACACACTGAGAGAGGGAGAGGTTGAGCCAGCATTTTGTAGGCAGTCTCTGTTCGAGCCAGGAGGTGTTGTGTTGCTCTGGACTGCTCTCAGCGTTCTGGCTACTTTAGTTTGGTGAGGCCAGGGCTATGCTGAATTGGCAGTGTGCAGTGAGTATGAGAGTGTGTGTGAGTGTGTGTGTGACCATCTGGAATTGAAGGCCTTTTTCTTCACTGTTAGTTTAATGAAGGCAGGTAGAGCAGGTCGTCCACTAATCAAAAGGGCTGGCGGTTCGATTCCCGACTCCTCCTACTTCTGTTGAAGTGTCCATGAGCAAGACACTAAATCTAATAGGTCGTGATGGTTGGGCTGGTGCCTTGCATGGTAGCTTGTGTGTGTGTGTGTGTGTGTGTGTGTGTGTGTGTGTGTGTGTGAATGGGTGAATGTTAGACACACTGTAAAGAAATCTGGATAAAAGAGCTATAGAAATGCAGTCCATTCCATTTTCACATATTCAGAATAAGTCTGGCAAGTTAGACTAACAAAAATAGAGAAAAGTAGCATTTGCTTTGTATTTAGAAACACTGTCGACAGGGCTACTGTATTGTCCTCAAAACAAAAATCACGCCTTTTCTAGCCAACACTTGTGTTCATTAAATTCTGGCTAATTGTGCTGGTACAAATGTAGAAATCTGCTCCACCTGCTTCCTTATTCAGCACAAACACATGTCAGTGAGAATTAAGAGAATGCCTTTTATTTCTCGAGAACTAGACAATGACTCATGGGACACTTAAACCATATTTAGACATTCCCATTATATAACATGTAAAGTGCTACTAGGTTTAATGTGAAATGATGTGTTCTTCTGTATTCACACATCCCAACATCACACATTGTAGAAATAGATCTAGTCCTTTCCGTGTTCAGTTTGGTGCCACAGGGCTCGCTGAAGCAGTCTTACTATAAACCATGATTGAAACTGTTCTTATCTTGAATCACACGGGGAATTTGACTTCACATGCTGGGCTGAGACTGTGTCAGAGACATTTTCTGTGAAATGATTGTATTGATTGAGACCTTTCAACATTGAACTTTGAGTTTAGTCAGAAAAGTAAAGGAAAACTTGGGGTGGGATTTCAGTGACAGCCCCACCGCACACGCCTATTAGAAAACGTAATGGAACACACACACACATACACAGATGCATAGTTAGGACGTGTCCCAATATCAAAATCTGTTTCAGGATGAGAGCTGCTGTGTAATGTGTCATTCCTGATTCAAATGGAATTGCGTATGTGAGTCTTTGATGTCCAAGTGTGCGGGGGGGTTTTGTGTGTGTTGGCAGCATACACTAACAGCCTGGGAGTTAAATACTTGGCTGTCCTGGTATTCATAATGAGCCCCAAAGCGATGTCCAGTTTTACTGTGTCTGTCTGGTTTGTGTGTAATACGTGTGTGTGTGTGTTGTCTGTGCATGTGTGTATATGCATTTGTCCACCAACCTAGATCCTATGCCAAGCTTCCCATTAGTGAAGCACAGTCCATTAAAACCCCATTAACAACCCCTCTCAGAAAGAAAAAAAAAATGATACACACAGTCAAAAACATTCTCATACAGAGCACACACATACCGCACATATGCACCACTCCACCTACCCTTCTGTTATTGGGGAACTTTGACAACCTTAGGCCCAATCCATTCTCAGATCAAGGTCATTAAAAGAGAATTACAGAGTGCATACATATGGACAAACAGACCTCCAACTTCTTTCCCGTCTGTCTCGTTGGTCTCCGAACATCACCCCCAACACTGCCTTTCTCCTTTTAACAGTGTTTATTTACAGATCTGAGATAAAAACACAGCCTCATCACCGTGCTCTCATTTTGTCTGTCCATCTTTAGGTTGACTGTCTCGTCTCTGAAGAGGACTGACACTGGCCAGTATCAGTGTACGGCGAGGAACAGGATGGGAGCAGTCATACACCGGAGAACAGAGGTGCAGGTGGCCTGTGAGTACACAAGTGTTCACACCATTATAATTACACCAATACAGGAGTTTTATTAGTGATCAGCAGCAACTTTGTCCACACCAACAAGCTGCCTCAATCTTAAAGTGCAACTGAAATCACAATTAGTCATCCCTTTTTGCAGCCAAAAAAAATGTCAAAGTAAATTTTTTTATTTTTTTATTTTTTTGGTACTGGAAGGAAAATAGAGGTCTTAGCGAAAATGTCAGAAATTCTCCTTTTCTCTCCAAACTAGCAATGTAATTTCAGTTGGACTAATATTGTAACATGTGTTTTTAGCATTTAAACACCAAAATACTGAACCACTAAAGTATGCACAAATAATAAAAAAAACTAATAACTGTCTGAAATTATTGTCCTTTTAATGACCAAGCTAACTTAGTTTGCGAACTGAGTTTTCCCCCTCTTCAATAAATCTCTTTAAAGACAAAAATAGAAAATAGTAAGAAGCTTTGAAAGCTTTAGTGACTGACTACCTATTTCTCCTAGACCAGGGGTATTCAATTAGTTTTCAAAGAGGTCCAGTTAGAGAAAATTTCCTGAAGCAAAGGTCCAGAACATCAAAACGACTAACTTGCGTTATCATTCAGTACTATAACCTATAGTTGTATCAACACATGTTTTTAGTCAACAACGGACTGTCAAATCAAATAATGTTTGTTTCAGTCAGTTTTCACATCAAACTGGAGGGATAATAAATAATAACTATTCAAATAATAAATTCTAAATTTAAGTAAACTAAAGTGCCTAATTTTTAGAAAAAATGTAATAAAAAGTGTAGCTTGAAGTGATGAAGTGTAGTCTTAACCAATTTTATAATAAACACTCAACACATCATAACAAATGAACAGCTGTAATGCCTCCTCTTCTCTTTCATTTCCTACCGCTACCACTTTCCTACTTTCTGTTGTTCAGTGAGAAACGTGAGCTCCAGCTAGCATATTGGAGATCTATGAGATATTCTGGTTTTGAACTGCCCGTGGGAGGAATGTACATGTAAAAATCTGTACAATCTTGATTAAAAGTCATGTGAAATCTCTTTTATCTTTCGTCTCCTCAATTCGGGTGTGTTTCCAAAACGTCTGTGGTGAATCTCGCGGACTCGACTCGCAAGCATCGGTATGCACAGATTTGATTGGCTGAGCAGCGTCACATGAGACGATTGGCGCACATGCGATTGGTCTGAGAGTTTCCTGGTCCTCTAAACCAGTACAGTAAATGCTAGAAAAGCTGCGCGGGTTAAAATAGAAGCGCTCGGTCACGAGGTAGTAAGTCTCAATAATAAATAGGCTGTAGGTCGGCGGTCCGGAGAGGACGGCGGCTGGGTCCGGATCCGGACCGCGGTCCGCCTATTAGTGACCTCTGTCCTAGACGTTCCTGCCTGGCTAGCATGTTATTGGTTAACTAACATAGGTCAACTAGCCCTACGAGTATAGTCACTACATCACCAAGCTTCTAGAAACACGTATTTCCTGAAGACACACTGATGAATTTTGCTGCGCCACTTTCTGGTTTGCGTTAATATTCTTTCTACTGTTATTTCATACATTTGTATCGATACTTTTGCTCTTCAATCCTCTCTCCGCCTACAGTTTTGGGAAACTTCTCCGCTGAGGAGCAAAGGAAGACGGTGACTCAGGGCCGAGCAGCCATCATCAGCCAGCCTCCCCTCGCTTCTTTCCCTCGACCCTTGGTCACATGGTACAAAGATGGACACAAGATAATCCCCAACAATCGAATGTAGGTCTCTCTCTCTCTCTCTCTCCCTCTCTCTCTCTCTCTCTCTCTCTCTCTCTCTCTCTCTCTTTCTAGCACAAATTCAGATTTATATAGTGACTTGTGCACTCTGGAGTGTGTGTGTGATTGTGAAAATACAGCTTGAGATAAGAATTTAATTTTACAGTTCTTATCACCTTCAGTGGTATATTAATTAGTGTGCTCTAGAAGGATAAAGGTTCTTTTTAATCCTTGCACACCAATTGTTATGAATAATACGCCATTTAGATAACTGACCTTTTTCATTAGACATCTGTACAATAGACTTAGGACATTATCAAGAGAAGATAAAAACGGATTTTTCAATGAATCAAATCATTTTTACTTGTATAATCTACAAGGTTATTAAGTAATTGTAGGTGCGCTGGAGATGTTCTTTTATATTAATTGTACAGCAGAGGTATGAGGATGGCCTTGGATGTGTTGTGTGAGCTGTATTTAACAGTCTTTTGTTTAATGCTGTTGTCTGGCTCCTTTTGAAATGCCTGTAATTTGCATATTATTCCATAGCTGCTTCAGCTATCCTGTCAGTGTCATTATTTTGAAACACATTTATAAAATGTATTGATAATGTAATTATTCAGACAGAGCAGGGAAGTGTAGGTATGCTGTGAAAGGTTTTTTGGAGTAATGTGCTATAGATTGTGGCAGTATCTTAAATTATTTTAGAATATGTACCTGTTTGAATCTACTCGTCAGTGAAAGTAGGTGTTGAGCTACAGACCTTCAGTGATTTTATTAGGCTGCTCTCACACTTTGAGATAACTAACTCCCCATTAAGAACACTAACTGCTCCCCTGTGTGTTATTGAATGAAATTGTCAGTGGCCTTGCTGTACACGTAAATGTCCAGGCAGCAACTTTTTACTCTTTTAATGACAGTCATCACTGCAAAAGTGCTTTTGAGAAAGCTTTGTAAAGACCGTTTGCATAACAGTTTTTTTTAATCATTATTATTTTTGTCGTTGGTTCACATTAAGTTCGACTTTGCTTTTTAATTTCAATGAACATGGCTCTCCTGTTAACTTAATGGGGCTTCATGACATTGGACTACAATTATTTTACTGCTCAAGACGCTGCCTGTACTGACATTGATTACTGTCAGAGCATCACCACAACAGTGCCCTCACCCCTCCCTAATGTCACACACCACAAATGAGGGCACCACTACCACAGGCAATTAAAAACAAATGAAAAAAAAGCTACATAAATATCTGACTAAAATCACAATAAAATAAAAGCTGTTAATGCTGCAAATGTGCACCTGCCTATAAATTTATTTAATGGCCACTTTAATCATGTAAGTGTATGCATTAACATCGGGGCACACAGGCTGGACACCCATTTTCCCCACAAACCTCTTCCAGATCCTTTACTGGCTTACAACAGCCTGGAGATCCATTTTCATATCAGCACAAATAACAAAGTACCATAAAATATCTGTATCTGTCTAACTGCCAGGATCACTTCCTTCACTTATATTTGGCTGTAGGGATCTGCTCTGGAAGATCCCCATCCAGAACCAAAAAAATAACAGAAGCCAAACAGATGAGTTGTCACATAAGTTTAGCAGTAGTGCAAAATGTATGTAATTATTGAAAAAGCATTAAATGAAGATAATGAATGTTGAGTTGAAGCTGCGGTGGAGCAGAGATTGCAGAGTAAGCGCTGATGTAACAGTTACAGCATCAGTTTAGCAGAGCATTTAAAACAATACCTTTTGACAGTTTGGCAGGTGTACTCAGCTGAGCAGTCAGCTGAGAGCTTTGGCCTCCTCATCAGGACACAGATGACTCTGTGTTCTGTATTGGAGCCAGTATATGTAGCTAAAGTAGCTACATTGGCTCCATTTCTCCCCTGCCTTTTATCTTGATTAAGTAGACGAAAAAACGGATAAACATCCTGCCTAAAAAATGCCCAGTCCGTGCATTTTATTATCAAGATAACCCATTAAATTCAGGGTTTTCCTCATCTGTTTACTGCAGACCCAGTTAGTTTCTACTGAATACCTGACTGCCTCCACTGAAGTCATAAGAAATTAACAAATTTTTATGAAATAGTGACATTCTTATAATAAAAACTGTTTTACACAGGAAAAGCCTTACAATTAATGTAAGATGCATTTTATTTTGACCATATACCAATTTTATGCTATGATTTGTTGTCTCCAACACTTTTCAAAATAAACCATTTGCCCATCTCGATTAACTCTATTGAGTGCCCACGACAGTCTCTCCCCTCCTCGAATGGATGACAAAAACTGAGACAGAGATAAATTCAGCAGTCAGCATCTCACATGATATGTGTCTTCACACCTCTGACAAACAGCTGGCACTGCTGTACATCAGACCAGAAAACTGCACTCTGGCAAGCAGCATACTTTAATGTTAAACAGTAGCTTAGGTTTTCTAACTTCATTAACTTGCTGTTAAATACACTGTAACTTAGCTGCTGTTCAGGATGCCAGCAAGCAAGCAAGTGTGTGCATGGCAGGTTCAGTGCCAGTTACCAGACAAAAGCTGTTCTTACATGATGATAGTTAACTCATTTCAAACAGTTATTCATGCTGTGGGTCTGATGTCTTCATGCCCTTAAAAAGTCTGAAAATGTGTTAAATTTTGATTAAACCTCAAGTAATTTGCCTTAAATGTGAATTCATCATATCAAATTTTCAAAATAGAATCTGAGCTTCACTGATTATGCACACCATGTTTTTTGGGGGTCATTATGGGGTCGGGTGTACACTGAGGCACAGTGATGTTTGTTTGGGCCCAGACGACCTGACGGGTGTGCAACTTAGGAGCAGAGAGTTTGTCTTAAATTCAAAGCTATCACACTAGTACCTGTATCCATGGCAACAAGATGAAAATGACAGCTGGTTCTGCCACCTGCAGTGTCTGGTTATGGTAATATATGTTGTGGTATAGAAATAATTTCACTGATATTATATTTTAAGATATAAAAAGGTATTTTTCTGTTCTGCTCAAATACATAGACACCTGTAGTATGACTAGAAGAAGTCAATCTCACTACCTCATTTTCAAGTATTAATATAATCTGGATAACAACTTTTATCTCTCCATTGTGAGATGAGGTATTCTGATTTGCTTGCACCTCACATACACACTGTGATGAAGATTCATGCATAACACTTCCTTTGAACCCTCATAGAAAAGACTAATTTGCACCTCTCTTCACAGCTCTCCTCTTGTCTCTGCAAGTCATGTCTTCCTCTCCCGCTCCCCCTTTCACCTTCCTGCCCAGTCTCTCACTCCTACTTTTCTGCCTCTAAATTATTCTTTATATTGCTTTGTTCTCTCCATTGGCTCTCCCTCTCTTACTCTCTGTCTCTTTTATGGCCATTATCATGCTACAGGATATACTGTTACAGAACCTATAAACTTCTGTCCCTGAATAAACTGCTTAACTGCTGTGGTGTATGCACACAAACACACATTCACACATTCACACACATAATCTGTCTCTCCAGACCAATCTCGGTTGCGTCTACCTGGCTCAAGCGTCTCTGTGTGTGCTCATGCATGTCAGAGCGAGCACACTGAATATTTGCACACGGCTCTGTGTGTGAAACAGTGTGTTTGTGTGTGTGCGTTTGTCTGCGAGGTTATGCTGGCTGATCCTGCTGTCCGGTGAGACTGGGCCAGATGGTGCCTGGCGGTTGGCTGTCTTCTGTGGTGACCGAGCTGATGATGTTGTTTATGAAGTTTATTGATCCGATATGCATCGCTCCCAGACTCCCCAGCCCCATCTCACTGTCTGTCTTTCTGCCTCTCCCACCGCTCTCAATTTGAGTCTGTGTGCCTGCCCCGAACCCTGCTCTGCATATTCAACACACACACACACACACACACACACACACTCTCACTCTTTCTGTGTGTCCACACTCCCACCTACCCTTCACTTCCTCACACACACACACACACACACACACACACACACACACACACACACACACACACACACACACATATCCTGTCTGTGTATGGACATTCCCAAACTCCCCAGCCCTCAAAATACTGGCCAGCAAAGAACTTACAAGCTGTCACTTCCCACACACTCTGCTCTAATCTAATGGAGCCCTCACTCCCTGCCCCCTTCGTCTCCATGCTGGTCTGCCAACACTTCACTCTGATCCCCCCATTTTCAAATGGGCCCTGAACTTGAGACATATTGAGTTTGTTTTCTTCTCCGCTGTCCAGCAGCAGTCAAAACAACTCCGGGACAGTGCTGCCACCTCAGTGGCTGACGCAGATATATATTTTAGCTCTGACCTGCAGCCCAGGTCAAGAAGAACGACCTGCTGCTTTTAATTAGCTCTGAGGCCTGTGGCAGATGGACGTGAAATGATTCTTATAGCCAGCAGCTTCACAAGGACAGCCAGGATGAGGAAAATTGAACTATTCTTTCTTCTTACATGAGGGACGCAGGGAGCCCAGATTGATCAAATAAAGGCAGTGATCTATGCAGAAGCATGGCAGGGCGGACAGTGAATATTTCAGTTTCTTTTTGCTCGGGATTCGAGTGGTGCAGAGAGCGCTGATGTCACAGGTGGTCAGTGTCAGGACAGAGGCCTATGGGAAATATTTCTCCTCATAGACCTGGCCTTAGCAGCCATATGCTGTGGAAGTGTGTGTGTGCGCATTTGTCTCTACATTCATTCATTTTAATTTGTCAAACACCACTTTAACAGAGGGAGCGATTCATTATTTTGCTGCTTTCCATCTCACGCTAACACACACACACACACACACACACACACACACACACAGAGGTCTGAACAGAAGGAACTTTCTCGCTGTCTGAACTTTGCAAGCAGATGTTGTGTGTGTTTGCGTCTGCGAGCCTGTGCACATATGCATGTGTGTGTATTAGACAGACAGCAAGATCAAGAGAAAGAGAGCATCGTTTGGAGGCAGACTCAAAGGAAGTGTAGGCTTAGATTCC